CATAGCGTCGTTATTTTTTTGATAGCACAAACCAATAATTTTAAGTAATTTAATGAAAAAATAAAAAATAAATGTATTTTCTTAAGCTTATAACTTTAATTATATTTACGTTATCAAAAAAATAACGACGCTATGACACAGATAAAGTTCTTACCTATGCGTTTTGGAATTTTGGTAATTCTTCTATAAATACAAAGGGAGTAAAGTTGAGACAACACATGCGGGTGTGACGTCCTCTACCGTTTCAACTTTAATTATATGGACGATACGAACTGCTTTCGCATCAAGAAAATTTTTCAATTAGTAAATCAGGCTAAATCACCCATAGTAATAAGAATAACTAATAACTATCTTTGCATAATATACTATATTAACATAATATTATACACTACCTATATCATACTTCTTATATAAAGCTATCGGAATACGAAAGGAGACCGCGTAGTAACGACGGGACCTCAACTCTATATTTAACTGTTCACAATTTTCTTGTTATTTTAAATAATTGTTTTTAGTGTTTTTACCAAAAATAAAAAGAAATATTTTTGATTACCAATATTACTACTCATACCAGTTTTGTTGTTGTTGTAAGAAGCTGAATAATTTTCTAGAAACAACAATGTATCACTATTCACTAACGAATTTGATAATTTTTTTTACAGAAATTTGTCTATTAATTAGTGAATGCATTTAAATATTGACAGTTAATGCAGTGCGAATGAAATTGCAAAGGGTAAGCCACAAAGTAGAGTTTCACTGTTCATTTAGCACGTCCATTCAAACTTAAAAGTGTAAGTACTAACAAAATAATTGTTCTATATTAAGTAATTGTACATAGATATTTTTAGAAATGTATTCTGTTGCGAAATCAACAATGTAGTAGTTGTTTAAAAAAAACATGATGAAAAAACTATACTAGGAAAACGTTGCTATCGGATTTATAATATTAATGTAGTATTGAACGGTTGCCAGTTAAAAAAATGGATCCGATCAACTGACAACTATCGATAATGATCACCTGTCTAGGTCGGGGGCGAAATATTGGCCGTCGTCGCAAGGACCGCCAAGCCGGAACAGCTGATGGCAACGGGAGTCACGAGGGCTTCGAACGCTTCCGGGAGGACACGCGCACTCCGCGGACCCCTTACGGTCTGGCCGCGGTACCAATTCCATCGTTTCTGGGCACGGGTACCCGCGTTGAAATATCCGGTAGCACTTCTTATCGTCTGGCCAGTAGAGCAGCTGCCATCCACCCGATGGTTCTGCGGCACATGGATTCTGAGATGGGTCTGCCCAGGGGGGCGGTAGCACTGCGCCCGTAGTGGCGGCGGCTAAGCATGCCAAGCAGTGTAGTAATAGCATCACCTATGAATTAAATCAAACGTATAGTTTATAATCGTAAGTAACACATGTTAATGGGCAGGTAATGTTTATTACACTGCAGTGTCTTAAAATTCAGGACGTATGAGCAAATATTACTATAACCATTTTGGTATAACTGAAATGCTAGCCGAGGACGGAGTCTCTCTTCTTTTCAAAAAATAATTATGCGTGCCTAGTGTCTACCTTTTCTAATCATATATTTATATCCTAATCTATAAGGTATTTAAGTATTTAGGTAAATAAATACATTTTATTTAAACTTTTGCATCCTCATTTGTGTATAATATAATATATGATATTTACATTTCATGAGATGAAATATTTGATAATTATAATGGCCAAATGACCTATTTGTGGTTCTCATCAAATCCAAAACATAAAATATTCAATAACCACCTTCATTTGCTTCGCTTTATGTTTAAATTTTCTATCTATTAATTCACATAAAATCCACACACTATACAAATCATTAGTGAGGCCCATTTAAGATTACGATATGGAAATCTGGAGATGCGCTTATAATAAGCTATCTCAGACCTAAACCATTCACGTGATCAAGTGCATAACTTTTTGTCTTATAATCTTTTATAATCAATGATGACTCTTTACATAAAGACTTAGAAATTTATACTGTTGATCTACTAGCTAAAATCTACTTCAATAGGTATATCACTCGACTTCTATGGTATAATGTATGTATAATCTATCCGCAGCCGGCAGGGAACGATATTAAGCAAGAGATAATTTTTTAAATAGGTACCTTATGGCTTAATAGTAAAAAAAGTAAAAATGTATAAATATTTAATTATAGTAATTATACATTCGTTTTCTCAGCCAACACATTACTATGCGCCGCATAAACTATTTTTATTTTTAAATTTTTCTGATATTATGACTAACAGTACAAACGCACATTACCTATGTTTTAAACTAAATTATCGCAAAGATCGATTTACGAGTATATTTCTAACTATATACGGTTAGGTTAGTAGTATACAAATAAAAACGCATTTTTCGATGACTAACTATATTTAAATATTAATACTAACAATAGTTAAGATTTGACCTTTTTTCTCAAGTTTCATTTAAAGTTTCCTCACACAATATCCGTAATTACATCCCTTTTTATATTCCCACTCATTCTACTTTCTTCAGCCACAACCACCCTATGCACTGCATAATGCTACGATAGTCATAAAATATTATTGTTACCATATTATATTATATTATATTATATTTATATTTAACTAACTCTTTTTGTAAAAGCCGTTGGCGTATATATATATAAATAAAAATACATGATATTCTCTAACAATCATTTCACAAAAGTTCGACTGGTAAAATATTTTACAGTTGTGTTTCATGGTCATGTGGTATTTGCTATGTATATTATATGCACACACACACACGAAACACACACACACACACACACATATATATACGTATTATAATAATGACCCTGAGAAATCTATCGGAGGCTCGGCTTTGGAGCCTTCAAATGATAAGAACAAAATTCAAACTCTCAAACATTTATTAGTATATTATGTAGACATAATAATACATATATGTGTAATACATTATACATACATCAACAGAAATATTAAATTATTTTCATACCTGCAGCAGTATACGGTTTGACGTATATAATGTTGAAAATTCCTTATCGCCAAATTAAAAAAAAAAAAATTATATATTATTTTATAATCTGTTAGTACTTAAATATTTTGAAACACTCGCGTAAAAAAGTTAAATACATATAATATACAAATATATTGAAATGGAAACTGGGTTTTCACTTTCGTTCCGTTCGATAGGCAATGACAACGATGACTGTTATGGTTTGTCTGTCAATTCTGTATCGGGTTATACTTCCCTCCCGCATTTCATATATATATATATGAACCACCAGCCACACTCTTATTCCATTCATGATGTCGACATTGTATTTTAATTTTTTATCCATTTTCTCTAGTTTAGACGGTTAGACCACAACACTATAAATGATATGGTCATTTTTCTTCGCCGACACGCAAGAACAGTTATTTTGTATACAATTTTAATTACCGATAAAGTTGCAGATATATACACAAGAGGTGCGCATGTTCCTAAATATATCTTATTATACATATTATGCTCTTCTTGTTTGGAGTTAACACACAATGGGAATGACGGAATAATATCGTAAGTCATAACCTTGTTTCGTCCAAATTTGATGAATAATTATATAGGATACCACCAAATCTAGTGGACATAAAGACAAAAGACATAGACTATGGTAAATAAGTATTATTCATGTGTCAGTATTTAAACAATAGAAAATAAAATGAAAAGTAGTTTTATTTAAATTTCTCCCACGCACGTCATGAAAACTGAAAAGGTTATCTAAATCGTTACATAGTGTATACTAGTATAATACCTATACCTCGCGGTTATAAATATAAACTGTATACACATCGCTGCATGCTAGTTACACTGCAATGTTTTTCTATGATTTAATTGTACCTACCGAATATGTTGGTATACAATATTACAATAACACGATATTATCTATTTTAGTTTTATAATACGTTTATTTCATCATAAATTATTAATATTGGTATAGGATCGACGCTTCATAATATAATGTATACAGAGAACACCACACACCTACACGTCGAAACAAATTAAATACTTCCACGTTCGGATTAATATTATGTATGTCTCATCAAGTCAAATTGCGTTTAAAGTGCATTCAATAATAAATTAATAATATACCGATATAGCAGATCCACAAAAATATCCATTTATAAAATAATATTCCGCTTAGGCAGTAAACGTATCGACGGTCCTTGTATGATAACCACTGACTCTGTTAAGTAGTAAGTACGTGTGTTTAATGTTTTTTACTTCGTATCTATACTTACATATTATGTAAGCATGCCAACACGTAAAATCAATGTATAAACAAATAAAAGATGATACATGTATATTATGAATATATGCTCATATATACGATTTTGTTGTAATATAAGTTGTAAAAAATGCTAAAATGTAAAAATTCTGTAGTTGGTACTTATAATTTTAACTACCCATAGCCTATACGTAAATATACTATATATAGGTTTATAGGTATATACCTATTGTAATATTAAAACATTCCATGTAAGGACCACGCCGTTCATTTTTACATGTCAATTGTCTTACAGAATGATGCGTAATGCGTACGTGTTTTGGTGTTTTAAATTGATATCCGTAATGTTTGTGTTGAGCGTGGACAATCAAACAATACAAATCACTATTGTACCTATAAATAAACACAGTAGGTATCCACCATACCTATATTCCATTGCGGTGTACTTGAATTTAACCTAAATAGATTATAGCTATGTATATAATATTATATAATAATATATATTTTTCTGTCATTGAATTTCAACTCATTGCGGCATTTCATAAGCTGTTTGAACTCGCAGAGTGTATTGTGAATATGATATTATAACTAAAATATGATATAACAAGTATCGATTCATTTTTAATTATATTACTGTCAGTGCTTTCTTTTTCTACAACTATTCCCAGACAAAAATATGTTTACATATAACATATTTCGTTTTAATTCTAATTTACATATTAAAACGAGAATTCGTACTTATTTTTATCATCTAGATTAGGTATTTGAAATGTTCAGTAGTGTATATTATTATGTTTAATAGGTATACACGAACAATGAATAATATAATATGTTGATACTATAATTAATTATTATATAATTTAGAACATCGCCTTAGCGATGTATTATTATTTTTAAACCAACAACAATTTGTTTTGTTTTATTAACTCTTACCGTAACAGGTGCGATGAGCGCAATATTGCTTATTTATATACACAATGATTTGTAAGAGGACAAATAATCAGGTTTTACTTTCGAATACATTCAAACCAGTTGACTTTTTTTTTTAAGAATACCCGTAATAATTCTTAAATATAATTACTAAGATCACGGCAAAAAAATACGCATGATACAATCTTAAAAATATTTAAGAACCATTAGCAATTCAAACAAAATTCAAATCAACAATATGCGTGATTAAAGTAGTTATAATTTATAAATAGTATACTTTCAATGTTTATAATTTGATGTTTCAAAAATTCGTTACCTATACATCAACATTATTTTAAGAAATTTGTTAGGTGCTATTTTAAAATCTTAATTTCGCAACTAAGGCTTATATTTAAATTGTAAACACGGCCATGATATTTTTGGCAGTAAAATGTGGTGTAATGTTGTCTAAACGCCTCTAAACTGGATCCCGATTTTAGATTCTGAGCGAAGTGATTTATGAAAGATAAACCTAACTCCATCATCACGGATGGTTTATAGTATAGTAAAATTTTCATTTATAATAATTGAGTGTCAAAATTGGAAAAAATTCCCGGTACTTTACTTAGGAATTGGTAACACTGGAATATTTTACAAAAGTATAAAAAGGAAGTGTAATAATCAGAAGATTATAATTAACTTGAATGAGCAGGCAGCCAGCACTGCCGGCCTACAAGGGCCTAGGACTGGTGAGGGTTTTGAATTAGTGTGATTTGGATAGTTCATTAAGTGCAATTGGGTAGTTTTTGGCCTTGATTTTTATTTGTTACATACCAAAGGGCAGAGGTAGACATACTCATTGATGTTAGAACCTTAGAACATGGGAGACTTGTGAGGTTCGGCTGCAGAGACTCAATAAGGTGGATAGCATTTAATCGAACTGGACGAATTATTGTTGATTCATATATATTAAGTTGTTGTTAATTAAAGACAGTTTAGATCTTAAAAGAGGCCTTAAGAAATTTAGTTTTGTATTGACTGATTTTCGTTTTGTATTTATACGACTGTTTTATGCTAGTCACTTGTCAAAAGTTAACTTGATTTTATTAGTTTATGGTATATTGGTATAGCTGGTAGGACTTGATTTTTAAACGAAAATGGTGAAAATTCCCGATTTCGGAAGGTATGTATAAATGGTAATGTGATAATAAATATAAATGTGTTATTATATGGTAAAGTACTTAAGTACATGTATAGCTTTGATTCATTAACTTTATTATAACTCTCCGACGGCGACGGTTAGCTCAAAAACTAATCATGTATAAATGATTTTGAATCATTTGACGCCACTATTAGTGTGTCAGCCAAATTGACATATACCTATATCTACGAATTGTGTACTGAGTTTAAAAAAACATTCATTTTTGTCGACGTTTTAAATTGTTTAATCACTTTTAAGCTGTAATTAATTGCATCGAAATAAAACATAATCGATATATAACATTTTAGCTAAGAATTTCTTAGTATATGTTTTTTGTTTTATAAAATGTTGAGTTTGAAAATATTATGACATTGTATACTTTTACGTCTTGTACGTCCGTCGTATACGTCACGTAGATAATAATAATATGTAATAGTAAATATCAACTCGAATTGATATTATTTATACTGCGTTGTTATAATCCAACCTTGGATTTTAAATTGAGAATCAATTGTATGTATAATTAAAATAGGTACGAACAAATTTAACAGTTTGCGTAAACTGTCAATTTTATTTAAATATCTAAAATTACCAGTATGTGTCAAGTCTCAAGTGATATTACACCATACACATTGCTATATACTTTAAAATATATTTTAAATTAAAATATTGTGAAACTACGTACAAGAATGATATAATTAACCTACTTAATTAATTAATTGATTAAAAAACCTATTTAATAATTTAGATGTGTTTTATTCAAAATGTGACAACAAAGTTATACGTACAACTCTGTAAATTTGCAATGAAATAACAACGTATGGAAAAAAACAATAATGAAAATCCATTAAACAAATCATTATTATTATTCTTTTAAGAGTTATATTTATGGTAATGTTTGCTAAACATTTCTATTTTTTTTTCTAGAACAACACACCCGCCGTTTTTCTTTGAAAAAGGTTACACAATAATTACTTGTTGGTTCGTAGACTAAATAGAATAGAATATACCTGTGTTATAGATTTAATCGTTTCAATTTATATTCGTTTTTTAATTTCAATACCTATTATCGAAAACGCAACATATAATATAGTAGGTAGATATACATAATAATATTATATTATATGTTTTTTTTAAATTACTCGTACCTAAAAATATTGCGAAAAATGCATAATATTATGTATATATTATAATACCTATGTATTAGGTATACACTCTATACACATTTTCGTCTCGATCTAAACAATCGTTCTCTAATAAGAATATATTTTTTTTTGTTTTGCGCAATATTTATCATGTAAATACAATGTACATTATATATACACACCTTAGTCCCAATTATTATACTTATGTATATTATATCTGTAACGTTGGCGGCGCGGCGTTGGCGGGTGCGAGGCGCGCGAATTAAATTTGTTACAATTATATAATAAGAATCTAAATGTCTAGGTATAATATAAAATATAATATAGGCACTCACACACCAATTGACACGCGTCCTTGCAGTGACGAAAACGACACAGTGGCTTATATAAATCACAATGAAAACGTTTAGGAAAAATTGAGATTTTAATTGTGTTGATTGTAGGGATACCGGATAGCGGTATAATACAGATACCCATAATACACATTATTTATAATATATAATATGTCTCTCAGGTCTCTAAGCATCATTKCAGTTTACATATATTATATGTTATAAGTTTATGACTTATATGAATAATTATTGTGATACACGAATGCGATATTATTATAGTTTATAATAACGCCATTTTGTGTTATCGAACGATCATAATTCATAATTATTACTATAATATATTATTATAGGACCAACACAACGAAAAATAAAATAATATTTGGTAAAAATATAAATAAGTACCAATACTTACTTTTTTATAATAATATAAATTGTATGGGCATGAAAATAAGTATACATACACATATATGTAAAGTTCACACATTTATTACAAACGGTTCTCTAGATTACATTTAAGATTTAATTCTAAACATTTTATCATTCTTGATCAGCTGACTAGGTATTATCATTCATCATGAATTAAGGCATTTTGTTTAATGAGCAGATCCTTAAGAGGACGCTACACCCGCATACGTTGTCTCCGTCTTATAAGTGCGTAACATAACAAATTTTATGCTCAGCAGATCACGTTTAGCTCCGTTAGTTTGAAATTTAGAGTAAATTGACCTCTTACAAAAATTAAAGGTAACATCATTATCGAGGGAATGACGTAGGCTTTTTATTATATTTTAATTTTAAAGTGAGTTATATGTATTTTAAGATATACAAACAATTTAAAATTTTAAAATACACATAACTCACTTTAAAATTAAAATATAATAAAAAGCCTACGTCATCATGCCCTCGATAATAATGTTACCTTTAATTTTTGTAAGAGGTCAATTTACTCTAAATTTTAAACTAACGGAGCTAAACGTGATCTGCTGAGCATAAAATTTGCTATGTTACGCACTTGTAAGACGGAGACAACATATACGGGTGTAGCGTCCTCTTAAGAATCAATAAACTGCAGGTGATTTTTACAATGTCGTGATTTAGATACAAGTAAACAATAACTTCTGCACAAATTCGTGTTCGTGAAATAATTAGACTGAGGAGTTTGGTGGACAAGGCCGAAACGTGACAAAATGTGAAGCTCTACAGGTAATACATATTTTCAGTGAGCAATTTTTTTATAATTAGAATGGTATATATATATACATTATAACAAATAATAATATTTAAATGGATTTTTATTTTAAATATTTATAGTCTATACAAACAATGTTTACTTGACTATAGAAGAAATACATTTACGTCACGTCGATTTACGACTTGGGTATGCGTTGCGGTTGGTCGTTTTAATTAGATTATAAAATGCATATTAGGTGCATTTATGTGCTGTTCGCACGTGACACAAATACCGACATACCTACAATTAATATCACATTACGTAGTAGAATAATATAGCTATACCATATACGAATAAAAGATGGCCCTATATGTATGTATCAAAGAGAATTTCGAAAAAAAATTAATTTTTGTCACCTTTAAAATGTCCGGTGCGCATACGTAAACACAAATTCAATACGCACCACTTACCACTAAACAGGGTGATGATTTAACAAAAATTCACACGCCCATTTCATCCATCAAACGAAAATTATTTTAATAAAATAGAATTTTTAGAATTATAAAGATTTATCTATTTTTTCAAATACTTGGGTTTTTTTTTGTTTATTGAGAAGATATTTTCTAAATATTATTATTTTTTATGAACTAGGTGTAATACCCATGTTGATTATAGATTTAAAAGAAATAGTGTGTTGTATGAAAAAAAAAAATAAATCTTATAAATGTTTTATTTACACCCAGGTCTTTTATTACACAAATATTACAATTACCTATTGTAAGTTAACTAATTATAAAATACTAATAGGTGTATATTATTGGAATTTTAAAATTGTATTGTTGTTTCCAATTTCCTAAACCTATATTATTTTGTGAGTTAACTCTGAACTTATTTTAAATTGAAATTGATACCTATTATAATGCATGACTATACACTACCTATATTATGTGTGAATCATCATTAATTGTGATATATTAGACAAGTTATAGAAGTGTATGATATGTGGGTAATATTATCTATGGGGTACTGGGGTGTATAATAATATATATATATATAGGTACTCACGTATATTATAGTCGTCGTCGTGGTGCAGTACAAGTTATCCGCGGACGGTGTGCCGAACGCGGGCCATGGATAAACGCAAGCACACAGCTGCTGCGGATGAAAACAAAAATAATAATAATGAAGATAATAGAATACGCGAGAGTAATGTATCGCTGGCCAAACAGCAGCAGCAATAATAATGGGCGGTAAGCGCAGAGCGTCGTCCGCGTGGTCGTTTCACAGTATATTATGTCAAACGCGCTGTTGCGTACCGAGTTATGTATGAGCGTCATCGCCGCCGAGCGTCGTTACCGTCATAATGTGCCGACCAAGATCCGGTTACGCAATGGTCAAGGCTTTGGGGGTTCCCCTCGGCGTGGCTGCACGCTGCAGTCGTGTATGCGCGTTTACAGCAACGTGTAATTCCCGAGCTCGTGATCTTGACCCGAAAAATCAAAAGCTTTTTTACAACCGTACACTATAATATTATATATTATATTCATTATTATCGTATATTATCTATTATGTATATTATATACCTATATATTACATATTTACGCACACGCCATCTCACGTCACTGTGCGCACTAAGTACCCTGCTTAGTCTACATAGGTATACTGTCGTAACACGAAGGTATGTTATACCTTGTGCCGCCAATGTCGCGATTTTTTTTCTCAGTAAGAACTGCCGCCTATAAAGCTATACATCATAACAATTTTTTATCGTGCCGTGTCCACATGACGTATATTATATTATTACCTATATATATATACATACCGTGTTATTATTGATGAATTATCATATGAGTTTCTGGTTTTTCCTACTTCCTATTCAAATTTCAAACACTGATATTATAGTAGGACAAGGCGCAAACAGTCTATAATATTATATGTATATTATTTACATGTATATGAACGTAGCGGTTCACGACCGGTAGTCGCGATAGTATTATAAATGTATAGGTATTATTTGATATAATGGTATATCGTATCGAGTATTGTGTTTACAATACACATATTATGTACAATAGGTGTATCAGGAAGATCTGACAATTTTATATTAATAAAATGTGTCAGATCGTCGGGATGCACTCTTTACACATATTATAATTATTATATGTTATATTATACATATACCATGCACATATTATGGTGCATTTTAAAACACGCCTATTCCGTTTTAAACTAAAATTATATATATTAGGCATAATTGTATTTACATTGTGTTTTTTGGAATTTTTAGTTAATAATTTAATATAGACTGCGTCCGCTACATCATCAGGATATATAGGGGTCACCCACATGCGGTCCTAGGCAAACTTTATGTATGCACCCAACCTGCATACAAAACTTAAAAAAGAAAATTTTGGTGATGAATTTAAAGAGGTTTTCAGTTTACAATTTTCAATTCAATTAATTAATTAAAATCATAATTTTATTTTATTTTTTGATATCGCTTTTACTTTCTTTGGATAAACATTACATTATGACGGGCCTTGAAAACTTGAAAGTAGTGATCCAAAAATATTAATCGGTGATCCTCGCAACACTTAGATACTATTCAAACTATATATTATTTTCAAATATTCTAAGATTTTTGTACAGCATTAACGAAAACTATCCTGGAGACAGTTGGCGGCACAAAATTATGAAAACCTACTCTTTTTACAAATTGTTAAGGAAATCCGAAGAAATAGAATATATTAATTAATAAATAGTATAATGTATATAGACTTGTCTAGTGTTGTCTACAATCATGTTGTACCTAAATGTATTTATTTATTTCTATATTTTTGTTTATCTATATAAAATATAAATATATAGGTTCGGAGGTTCTTAAACCCGTAATGCAAGGTCCATTAATGATAATATATTGTAATATCATCAATAATCAACATCGATTATCAAATATGTTCATTAAAAATTTAGAAATTTAAACAATACGTAGATGTCCTTAATACAGAAAGAGGAATAACGCAAAAGTTACTAGTTCGAATTTCAATTCGTATGGGTATCAATCCAACATAAAAAAAATAATGATCTACTTATTTACAGCATAAGTAAAAAAAATCTATATCATTTCAGGACAGTTCTACTCATTGAAATGTCAACTTAACAATAATAATAATAAAAAATTAAGTTAAATTCAATTAGTTTTCAAAACTCCACTTATATGACGTAGGTACTTACTGTCTATAGTGGCTACTGGCTAGTGGCTACTATATATATGCACATGCTATTTTTACGCAGGGAAAGTATTTGAAATTTGAACTCAACCGTATAACTGTGATAATATCTGTATATTATATTACATTATAGACTTTAAAGTATTATTATTATTATTATTATTTATTATGTATACATCGCGACTATTATCATTATTATACACACACGCATGTATGTACATACATAGATATATGTATGATTTATACATTACGCATGTACGATCACTCGTCCATAACGTATATTATAAACATCGCAGCGAACGCGTTGACGACGGCGTACTTAAGCGACGCCCCGAGGGTTAACGTCCCGACCCGATATTAGACGCACACACACACGCTGGAGGCGTATACGCACGACACACCAAGACGTCCAATCGCGATGACGTATAATAATTTAATGCATAACATCGTGTTGGTATATTATATAGGTACATACTAGGTGATGTATTTTATTGTTACGTATATTACGCGATCGCATAATAATAACACATTATTGTTGTCCGCGTGTGCATAGATATTTTGTACTTTAAACACTAAATCATCATAATATTATAATTTATAACATTGTTCATGACATTGATGAACAAATCGAGAACAAAAAGTAAAAAGTCACATGTTTCAGCGTCAAATATATGTAATAATAATAATCCCGACGGTGTTAGGGTTCCAGAGTCGATAAGACTTTATTCGTATACACCAAAACAATAAATTAAGACTTAAAAGTGCATACAACATAATTTCATAATATTTATGTTACCATGGGATATATTTAGACTCTATTAAATGATATACCTATTACCTAATAATATAAAATATATATGCACTCTAGAGACATAGACATTGTACACAAAATTGAACTCTCAAAAACAATTTTCTTCTAAAAAAAATGCAGTACCTACCTAATACCTACAAATAATAAATCACTAAATATTTATTGTCAGTTATAGGTATTGCATTTGGTATAGACACTTTTTATAAATAAAATTGTATTGGCCAAGTTCAATATGCTTTACCCATCATATGGAGATTTTTAATTTTGCTAAAATTATTTTTGAGGCTATTTTTTGAAAACAACATTTTGATTTAAAGCATCGTAATGAAATGTACAACTGMGTAAATTAACAGTTATATGTGTAATGACTAATGATGTGTTCCAATATAGTTTATATACTCTTAGTATTTAGCAGGTATCTCTGATATTTAGATACTATTTGAAATTAAAAACTCAAAAATGTCAATAGTACGCTGATTTAAGTATATAGGTATGTATAACAATAAAGCTACATAATTACATTTTACATTACCTAGCAATATCTAAACCATGCACTAAGTATAACCAAAAAATATTATGGTTTTAAAATCAGTTATTTTAAAGACTGAATGTAAATGCGGGCGATGAGATTATTGGAAATCTAAATGATGCGTTAAGTAAAAAATGTTGGTAAACACTGAGTTATAGTAGTTATACTGTCGCAGTTGTAGAAATGTATATAACTGTTTCTATAAATAAGACTTAAGTAGGTATAAGTACGCCCATTTCAATACGGATTATACCGCGGTGGCATTAAATTTACAAGTATATATCATAATCATTAGTCATTATACATTTACACATTACTATAGGTACACGTAGGCGTTCGAACGATTTTCGTGGGTGGTAACTATTAGTAAGTACTTATTTAATACATATATATATATATATTATATATAGTACCTATATGCATACATTACCTATAAAATCATATATAGGTACTATAGGTACGTATTAGACAAGATATGTATATCACTACGTTAATTCGTTAATACACCATATTATGCAACATAATAGTTAACATCTGATCAAACGTCGGTTGGGAAGTTAAATATGTTTGGTATAAATGTATTTAATAGTATACAATTTCAGCTTATTCTCAATACTTTAATTCCTCTATACACGTAATGGCGTTTAAACATTATAAGTTATTGATTTGTGTTAATATCCATAAAGTCATAATATAGTCCTATCAATATATCTATAACACAAAATCTAACTTTCTTTTTTTTTTAGACTTAGCTCGTCAATGACTTCTTCTGGCAAACTTTTGATATTCTCGTAAAATGCCTGCAATAAGGCCAGATTAGAATTATCGACATTTACATAATCTCTTCATAAGAAGAACTATACTGAATACTATACTGAGGATCCTATCTAGACCGTTCGGCTAACTAGGAAGTTTAGTTATGTTTTTTTTTATTACTATTATTTAAATTATGGCGTTTATTGAGAATTTACAATCTGTACATTATATAAAATAAGTAAATATGATATAAGAATAATATAACCGTCCAAAAATATMGTACATCGTTTCCGCATTGTCGGTTTCCTGCACCAAATGATCGTACATCAAATGCACATCAGTATATTCTGAACAATAAAACGGTATAAAAAAATGGTATTACATGATGTATAATTATTAATATTATATAGAGTATGAATAATTTAAGATTTTTAAACTTAGAAATAAACATACATAAATATTTTAAATTCAAATTTTGACAAAATTCATCAAAAACTCGAAAATTTAATATTAAGTGAATATTATTTAGAGATCTTAAGACCAAAGTTAAAAAACAATACTTGCTCTTTGGGTGTACACCTTTTTTCATTTCTATTGTCAAATAATATTAATGCACAAAATATGTACAACCCAAAAATCGAACGATGCGCAATATTGTCTTACAAGAAGGTCAAAATTAACAATAGTGATGCGCAAACGACAGCCGGTGCGGGGGAGGGTTATCGCTCTTTTGCTAGGAAAAAGGACAATCGTCTGCGCATTATAGCAAGAGATCAATCATCAATTATTGATTAAAGGAGGTGAAGTAATCTGGAGTGGAATTTTTCATAGTGAGTTTAACTGTTGATGCTCCCAAATCCATTTTGCGTAATCTGAGGACTGAAATAGTGAGACACTTACGTAATCGTATTTCGTAGTACCTACAGAATAGTTTTCCAAACCAATTACCATTGATTTATCAGTCAGTTGACAATTAACAAAACTTAACTACAAAGACCTAATAAGACAGTGATCCACTCGAATCGTATAGATATTGGTATGATCAGTATCAATCAATTTGTTAATGTTAATAATAATATTATAACTTATATGAATTTATAGTGCTACGGTAACGTAACTAAAATATTTATGTTTAACGCGTTTTGCGGGTTGTCTGTACATATTGCA